AAAGTCTATCTTGGGGGAAGTGAAAACAGGGTGTTTTTTAGAGGCAAGGATAGTGACATTTGATCTCACATACTTTGAGAATGCTGTCAGGAGGAACTAGTCCCATGGAAAATACACAATGCTGGAAAAAAGTATGAGGCAGAGAAAGAGAGGAAGACTTTCAATAAAATGGATTGACACAGTGACTGCAACAATAGGCTGGGGCATATTAGAGACCACAAGGTTGGAGAAGCATAGGATCAGGTTCTGATCTGTTGTTCATCGGGTTACCTGAGTCATACTCAACTTGATTGCACCTTGCAACACTGAAGATGGATGCCTATCAGCTGATCCAGGATGACAATGTATGATATGATCTAATGTGAAGAAAACCTAGTGGAATATGTTCTACCAAAGTATGCCATTGTTAGAGAACTAGGATTTTTCTCTTTGACCTCTTCTGTCAGCAGGAAGAAGCCAGAAGAAGTAGTTACCATTTCTCAAAGTTAAGAAACCCACACATAAAGGCTGGGATTGCAAACAACTAAAGCACATGCTATTTACTCCTGTTTTATACTGTGACATATGAATGGTGTTAAGTTTTCATGAGGCCTTAACAAGACAGAGCCAATTCGTCTAGAACACAATGGTTGGGCACAAAGACCTGAACAGGAGAACATAATGAAGAAGTTCAGGTACATTCTTCTGCTTTTTTGTGTCTTCCCTATATAAACTCTCATCTCCAAAGGCAAGAGATAGATTTGAGACCCTCATAATAAAATAAATCTCTGGTTTTTGCACTCCAACTCCTGTTTCCAAGAATAATTTTCTGTCAGCAGGTGGCAGAACTTTGACTTCTTTAACAAGTTGACTATCTTATCTATGAAGTCTATAGTATATATCCTTAAAAACAGGACCTTCTCCAGAATAAGCACAGTATAAAATAAAATTGAGAAGATCAGTATTGATACAGTACCATCATCTCATCTCCAAATTCTATTACAATCTTTATCATTTGTTACAATAAAATTCCTTTATTATAGAAAGATCCCATTTAGGGTCATGTGCTGCATTTAGCTCTTAAGTCTCTTTAATCTTCAGTCTGGGAGAATTCTTCAGTCTTAATTTTCATTACTTTCACATTTCAGAAGACTGATTTTGAGCTCTCTCCCTTAGTTCTGATACATAGAGACCTGAGAGTAGAACTGCCACATTGAGTTTTCTTGGCTATACATTTTTTATTATTATTAATTTTAATGAACATTTACAGAGATTTTGGATTTCCATTCATTCATTGTTGTACTTTTCTCCCTGCCCACCCCCCACCTGACCCCCTCTCTTGGCTATACTTTTTTGTCAGCTGGCCTCTAGGTCTTTCTCTCATGGAGTAGCTGGATGGATTCAAACTGCTAAATCTTTGGTTAACAGACAAGCACTTAGCCTTTTGCCACCAGGACTTTTTTTCCACAAACCTGTTATTTTGTTAAGTGTCACTTTTATTTCTTCAGAGTTAACTTAATGTTGAATGGTTTGGGGTTGGGTTTTTTTGTCTGTTTTTTGTCTTTTGTGGTGTGTTTTGTTCTGTTTTGTTTTGTCTTAGGAATGTCACAAAAATGATGTTAGGTTCTTATTACTGAATCTGACCAGATGAAAATGGTTTTTAACTCATTGGTGATGGTAACTTTGATCACAACTTTTCCCCTAAAATTATTTTTTTTTCTTCTGTGGTTAATACATGTTTTGAGACTGGGTAATTTTGGAGACTAAGGTGCACTTGATTCAGGCCATGGTCGCTGCAACATCAGAAAGCTGGACAATGACTAGAGATGATAGAAGGAGAATTGATGCCTTTGAGTGTGGTGCTTTTGAAGAGTACTGAATATACCGTGGACTGCTAGGAGAACAAACAGGTTCATCCTAGGTAGCATGAAACCAGGCTGCTCCTTGGAGGCAAGGATTCTGACATAATTTGGGCATGCTGCAGGAGCCACCAGTCCTTGGAGGGGAACATTATGCTTGGGAGTGTGGAGGGGCAGTGCAAGAGAGGAAAACCCTGGATGAGATAGATAGATTCAGTGACTGGGGTAATAAGGGTAGGTGTGTCAGAGACAATAAGTTTGGCATAGGATAATGCAGGATTCAGAGCTGTTGTACATAGAGCTGCTATAAGTTGCAAGCAACTTGACAGCACATAACAACAACAACAACAATAACAGGATTACTCCTGGAATTTTCATCCACTTGTTTTAGCCTCTATTTGTGTTTATTGGTCAAATAACTTCTACCTTTATGGTTATTGGATGGTGATTTCCAAATTCCATTTTTCATTCAATGTTCATTAGTTGGCATTCATAGATAATGAGATGCCCTCCTTCCCAAATATTTAATTACTCATTAATTTATAACAATCTATAGTCACAGAATCATAATTTTATTCAAAGACATATAATCTGTTTTATAAATATTTGTTAATATTCTTCATTGGATACAGATTTAAATATAAGACTGGACACACACAAGTTTTATGGAACCAAATCATTGGGAAATGAATGTAAATAATAGATTTAACACAGCATGCCAAATTATTTTCTTACTGAGTTTATATACTATGAGTTAAGTATAAAAAGTAAGAACAAAAAAACCTTTTGGAACTGGCTGGCTTAGAAATATAATTTTTCACTGTAGCCTCTCCTTTAACTTTCAAACCATGTGAAAACATTCATCAGATTTTTAATAGTATTCAAAGTTGAAAAAGGAAAAGAACCTCTGAAGGGAGATCCAGGTTCAGTTTTGTTGTTGTTAGTTGTCATCGAGTTGACTACAACTCATTGTGACCTGACCCTATGAACAACAGATCTGAAGAGTGTTCTATTCTGCCCATCCTCATGATTTCTGACATGCTGGAGCCCATTGTTACAGTCACTGTGCCAATCCATCTTGTTGAGACTCTTCCTCTTTTCTCTGACCCTCCGCTTTTCCCAGAATGATGTCCATTTACAAAGACTGGCCCCTCCTGACCACATACCCAAAATATGTTATACCAAGTTACACCATCCTTACCGATAAGCAGCTCCCTGGCTATACTTTCTCTGAGAGCAATGTGTTTGTCCTTTTGACAATCCATGAGATATTCAATACTGTTCCCCAGCACCACAACTCAAAGGAATTGATTCTTCTGCTATTCTTTGTCTACCTTTCAGATACTACCTTTCTAGGCAGTACCTAGAAAGACCATGGGTTGGATCAAGTGCATCATAATAGTAAATGGGAATCTTTAGCATTTTAAACTCTTGACAGCAGCTATTCTCAATACAACATGCCTTCCACTTGTTGACTACCAGTACCAAGAGTATCGATTGTGGATTCAAGTAAGATGAAATCATTGACAACTTCAGTCTTTTCTCAATCTATCTGTTGCTGTCTATTTGTTCATAGTAAACACTTTTAGCTCTTGATGTTGTGATGTAATTTGTACTGAAGGCTATAGTCCTTGATCTTCTGCAGCATGTTTTTCAAGTTCTCTTTACTGTCATCAAGCAAGGCAGGCTCATCTGCATAATGCAGCCTGTTGATTAGTCTTCCTCCAGTCCTGATGTCACATTCTTCTTCATATAATGAAGAAATAAGCTTCTTCTCAAATGGTTTGCTCAGTATACAGATTGAATAGATAACGGAGTAAAGACACATACTCAGATACACACTTTCCCTGATCTCAAACCATGAAGTGTTTACCTTATTCTCTCTCTCTCTTTAATAAATTTTTTTTTATTTTATAGTAACTTACTTTACTTTGTTCTCTTGAAAAATGCTTCATATTTTCATATGTTTCCCATGAACAAACTTAAATGTTCTCAGGTTCCCATTCTTCTTGATGTTAGCCATAATTTGTTATGATACACACAATCAAATGCCTTTGCATAATCAATAAAACACAAGAAACTATCTTTCTGGTATTCTCTGCCTTCAGGCAAGATCCATCTGACATCAGCAATGATATTCCTTCTGCCATAGCATCTTCTGAATCCAGCTGGAATTTCAGGAAGTTTCCTGTGGAGACACTGTTTTAACCATTTTGAATAATCTTCTGCAAGATTTTACTTGTGCATGTTTTAACATTATTGTTTGATAATTTCCGTAGTATGCAATCAATTCCTGGGGCCTTTCTTTAAAATTAATAAATTGATTAATTGATTGTCAATGCCTTAATTCATAACTTAAATATCTTCTTTCATTACTATTGGTTCCTTAGCATACATTAACTTTCCTTCTCTCTCTCTCTCTCTCTCTCCTTCTTGCCAGTGCCTTCATTCATAACTTGAATATCTTCTCTCATTACCATTGGTTCCTTATCATACATTAACTATCCTGAAAGGGTTCAGAGTAAGTATATTTGTGTGTTTATGTGTGTGTGTGCGTGTGTATGTGTGTGTGTAGAGTGTCTCTATGCATGCCTCTTACCTTCTTTTTTCCTACTTCTGCACTGCTCAAGATTTTGCTGATAGAAACATTCAGGTTTGGTTTAATCACTGATATTTGTAGTCAGTGTTTGATACATATGATGGTAAATAATCACCTTGTTTTCCCCCATTCCTGTCTCCTCATTATGAACCATCTGAGTATCTGCATGAAGTGGACTGCCTTTAAAACAAAACAAACACAACAGCAAATATACCTGATTTGAATTTTTATAAAGATGGAAGATCCTCAAAAACCTTTTTTTTTGCAGTAAGGAGGCAAAACTTGAGTTTCTCTTTTCCCTGAATAGCTGGGGTGTGGTGTAGTTATAGGAACGAGGATTGCAGAAAAAGATGAAGCTGAAATCTCCATCCAAGAAAAGGGAACGCTCAGAAGAAAAGGGAAAGAATTTCTCAGTCCTGGGATTTGCAACTGTCACTTACCGAGATGAAGTCATTCTGGTGAAGACCATCTAGGAATATTCCACCTAAAGTAACGGACTACAGGAAAGAAAAGGAGGGAGGGCTAACAGAGGAACCTTCATATACCTATTTAATATGACTCACCTATTGAAAAAGGCAGAAAGGATTCCCTTTTCTTAAACTGTCCATTCTCCAGAAAGTGCTCCGGGTTGAAGGTGTCAGGAGTGGCCCACTCTTTGGGGTCCCTGTGCAGCGCAGTCAGATTGGTCAGAATCATGGTTCCCTAGAGAAGGCAGCAAAGATTCAGGTAAGGTTGGACCCACACAACACATCTACTGAGAAAGTGGCTTGGTGGATTCAAACCACAACCCTTCTTTAGCAAAACTCAAACTCATTGCTATCAAAACAAGCTCATTGCCTGAAACAAATCATAGCTGACCCTCCAGCAAGAGGTTGCCAATTGCATGGGAGAAGATTGCACATATTTGTTCTGTTGAGCAGCTGGTGACATCAAACCACCTCATTTGAGTGAGTAATGCCTTCCTCAATCGGCCACTCACTAAAGTTCTTTTCTTCTTTAGTAGCCCAACATGTAACTCACCTCACTAGGTTTCCAGGACACGTAGGGTGGAGATCAAACAAGGGAGGTGATATGAGCTTGTGTAGTCTCTAGAGAGGACACAAGAGAGCACAGCAAGACTACTAGCAGAAATCCTAGGAGTCCTCGAGAGTGGGATAAAATTCTTTTGTGAGGACTGAGGAAGTTAGCAAGATAATAATAAACTACGAAAATCCCATGAATTACAAAGATGTGTTCCAAAGTTGATCATGAGGATGATGCAGATTGGGCATCATTTGTTCCCTTGGACATGAGTTTATCCTGAACCTGGAATTGACTTTCACTAAGGTGGCTACAAAAGAAACCATGGATAAAAATTACAAAATGAAAGCCAAGCCTTGGAGAACTTTAAAACTTATTCAAACCATTCCCCAAATCTAGTTTCCAAGGCTCTAAGTCCTATTGAGAGGATACTTCTAAATTTCTACTGAGGAGAAGCTGGTGGGTTGAAATTGTAGACTTTTCAGTTAGGAGTCCAATGACTCTTAATTTCAAAGGCAAAGTACACGAGTAGGGGAAGAAGATTCAAGTCAAAAACAACAACTACCACGAAACAACCAAAATACTCCAACACACTGAGTTTAGAAGCATAACAAATCTGATTCTGATCCGAGCTTTGTTCCTTGATGTTGTTCTTAGATTCCATTGAGCTGACTCATAGTGATCTTAAGAAGAGCAGATTAATGTTCAAATTGATTGTTGCAATAGTGTTGTCAACTCATATCCTTGTCCTCCTTCACTGACTCTCTACCTTTCCCAGCATCTTGCCCTTACAAAGACTGGCTCTTTCTAACAACATGCGCAAACCATGTGAGATGAAGTTTTACCCTCTCTCCCTCTAAAGAACACCCTGATAAATTAGTCCCTTGTTATTATGTTGTTAGGTACCTTGGAGTAGAGTACAGCTGACAAAGACCCTATAAATTACCGACCTAAAACTTGTCTTATTCTGTGCCATCTCCACCATCTCTGACACCCTTGAACACACTGCTTCACTCATCGTGTCCATCCATCTGGTTAAGAGTCTTTCTTTCTTTCTTTCACTGACCCTCCATATTTCCAAGCATGTTGTCCCTCTCCAAGGAGTAGCCTTAGCAACATGTTCAAAGTATAAGAGATAAAGCTTCACTATCTTTGCCTCCAAGGAGCACTCGGGTACCACTTTCTCCAAGACACATCTGTTTGTTCCTTTGGCAGTCCATGGGGTAGTCAGTACCCTTCTCTAACACAATTCAATGGCACAAGTTCTTCCATCATCCTTATTCATTGTCCAGCTCTCAGATACGTAGCAAGTGATTGAAAAGACCTGTCCTGAATCCGGCACACTTAACTCTTCAAACTGACATTGTTGTTTTAAGTATTTGGAGAAGTTCCTGACACTAGGAACACTGAAACAAGTTATTTGGTATCCCATCAATTCCTGGGTCCTTATTTTTTGACAATGCCTTCAATGCAGCTTCTAGTTCTTCTTCATTATAATGGTACTTTTTGAAATTTTTTCTTGTCAATCAATTCTTTCTGGTAGAGTGACTCTGTGTATTCCTTCTATCTTCTTTTGATGCTTTCTGGGCCATTCAGTATATTGCCCATAGCATCTTTTAATATTGTGATGTGAGGCTTAAATCTGTTTTTAAGTTCTTTCAGCTTGAGAAATGCAGAGTGAGTTCTTCCCTTTTTATTCTTCAATTCCAGCGCTCTGCACGTTCCATTTTAATACTTTGCTTTGTCCTCTTGAGCTGCCCTTTGAAATCTTCTGTTCAGCTCTTTCACTTTGAAATACCTTACTTTTGGATTCTCAATGCTCCAGTGCAATCTTCTGACATCCATTTCATTTTTTTCTTTGTCCTCTATTTTTGTAATGACTTTTTGCTTTCTTCATGGATGGTACCCTTGATATAATCCCACAACACATTTGGTCTTTGGTCATTGGTGTTGAATGTCTCAAATCTATTCTTAATATGATCTTTAAATTCAGATGGAACTTATTCAAAGTCATATTTTAGTTTCTGTGGACTTATTTTAATTTTCTTCAGCCTCAGTTTGAATTTGCATATGAGTAACTGATGATCTGATCCACAGTCTGTCCCTGGCCTAGTTTTGACTGCTAATATTGAGCTTCTCCAACGATTTCTTGCATAAATGTGTCAATTTGATTCCTATGCAGCCCAATGGGTGAGATCCATAAAGTGAGTAGGACTAGAAGCACTTGTTGCAGAAGATTAAGGAATGCAGCCTTCATTGGATTACATCTCAATGTCAAAAAACCCAAAGATTACCACTGAACAAATAGGTAGCCTCATGATGGATGGAGAGGAAACAGAAACTGTCAATAGTGTCATATTGCTTGGATCCACAAATAACACCCTTGGTAATAGCATTCAGGAAATAAGGAGACACATTGCAAAATCTGCAGTTAGGGACCTCTCCAAATTATTGAGGAGTAATGATGTCAGTTTGAAGATGAAAGTGCATCTGATTGAAGCCATAGTCTTTTTATTGTTTGCTATTGATCTGAGAGCTGGACAATGAAAAAGGATGACAAAAAAGTATTGACGCCTTTGAGGTAAGGTATTACAAAAGAGCACTGAACATTCCTGGATGGCCAAGACAATAAACAGGTATGTCTTGGAGTGGGTGTAGCCAGAGTGCTTTTTGTAGGGAAGAATGATGAGGCTTTGCCTCACATTCTTAGGACATGTTGCAAGGAGGGGCCATTCCTTGGAGAAAGACATGATGCTGGGAAGGATGGAGGTTCAGCAAAGGAGAGAAAGACCCTCAACCAGTTGGACTGAAATGGTGACTGCTGCAATGGGCTCTTGTGTGTCAGGAAGTGTGAGGATGGAGCAGGATAGAACAGAGTTCAGATTTTTTGTTTATAGAGTCACTATGAGTCATACTCAACAGCACCTAAAAACAACAACAGGTGTCCCATTGTTAACCATAATTTGTTATGATCCACACAGACAAGTGTATTTACATAGTCAATAAAATATAAATAGACCTCATTCTAGTATTCTCTGTTTCAGTTAGGATCCATCTGAAAACCACAGTAATCACCACCCTTTCTAAACTCACCTTGAACTTCTGCCAGTTCCTTATTTATGTACTTGTCCTAGCAATTTTTGGATGATATTCAGCAATATTTTGCTTTCATGTTACACTTATAATAATATTGTTTGATAATTTCCACATTCTGTTGGGTCAACTTTCTTGGAAATGTATACAATATTTTAGCAGGGAGTAAAAATAGGGGGAGGAAGTTTTAACAAAATAAGCATGAGAACTGCTGTTTTCTGTATTACAAGATTCACAATGAAAACTCTTAACATCTGTATCTTGTAGTCCCTAACTCATGAGGACCCGACTCAAGGTGATAAGACTCGTGATCCATTCAGAAGTAAATCATCAGTCATTTCTTCTTACTCTGGAAGTTCCACTAAAGCTGTTCAGCATTGTTTTTAGATGTCTTAATGTGCTTTCTAGGGAGCTCTGGAGGCCTCGTGGAAAGAAGCTTTACTGCAAATCTGAAGACATGCAGTTGGAGGTCACCAGTTCTTTTGTGGAAGAAGGATGTGGAATCTCCTCCTGTGAAATTAACTATTTCTGTGAGGGTCAGCTATGGGTCACTTCTGGCTCTATGGTACTCAACAACAACAACAATATGGTTTCCAGTGGCAACATTTAAACATTTATTAACAGGCATGTAGTGACTGAGTTGAGTTGCACTAGCTCAGAACAGAGCAAGGGAACACTGCATGGTTCAAAATTGGGAAGGGTATACGCCAGGGATGCATCCTATCTCCATACCTTTTCAACCTATATGCAGAACAGATTATCCAGGAAGCTGGGCTCTATTAGGAGAAATGTGGGGTCAAGATTGGTGGACGATTTATCGACAATCTGCGTTATGCAGATGACACAACCCTGCTTGCTGAAACTGAAGAGGACCTGAAGCGCCTGCTGCAGAGTGTCAAGGACTGCAGCCTACAATATGGATTGAGGCTCAATGTCAAGAAGACAAAGATTCTCACCACTGGACCAACTGGCAGCATCAGGAAGGATGGTGAAGAGATTGAGATTGTACACAGCTTTAGTTTGCTTGGCTCCACAGTCAACAGTCTTAGCACCAGCAGCCAGGAAATGAAAAGGCTCATTGCCATGGGAAAGTCTGCTGTTAGGGACCTCTCAAAAGTACTGAAGAGCAATGGTGTCTCTCTGGAGACTAAGGTGCGTCTGATACAGGCCATGGTCTTCGCAATTACTTGTTATGCATCAGAGAGTTGGACAATGACCAGGGAGGATAGAAGGAGAATTGATGCCTTTGAGCTGTGGTGCTGGAGAAGAGTATTGAGAATACCATGGACTGCTAGGAAAACAAACAGATTTGTCCCAGAAAAGGTTAAACCGGGTGGCTCCTTGGTGGCAAGGATTCTGAGGCTCCGTCTAACATACTTTGGACATGTTGTGAGTAAAGACGGGTCCTTGGAGAAGGACATCATGCTTGGGAGGGTGGAGGGACAGCGCAGGAGAGGAAGGCCCTCTATGAGGTGGACTGATTCAGTGACTGGGATAATTGGGATGGGAGTGTCAGAGACAGTGCAATTGGCACAGGACAGAGCTGAGTTTAGGGCTGTTGTACATAGGGTCGCTATGAGTCGCAAGCGACTCGATGGCACATAACAACAACAACAGCTAAAAAAAAACCAAACAAACCAAAATTACATGAATCTGCGTTTTGCACATGGAAGCTGAGAATTCTACCTATCATAACAACTAATTTCCAATACAAATTGGTACAGTGAAATCATTGAGAATATCACAAAAAAGAAAAAGAAGCCTTTCTCTAAACTTATTTAGCCACTAAACTCAAAACCCAAATTCACTGCAAGTGAGTCAGTTCAGATTCATAGAAGCCCTCCAACAGGTTTTGAAGACTGTAAATGACAATGGGAGGAGTCTGCCTTTGGGTTAGTAGCATTATGGGATTCAGTCACAACCACTTGAGCTCCATTTATTTGTCCATAGAATCCATATTTCCCTACTCGACTCCCCCCCACACTATTAGCACTTAATAGTATTTTGCACTAAAACCATACTTGGAAGGAAAAAAAATAGTATTATAGCAGGTACAGCATAGGTAAGGATATAAAATATGTCAGATTTCCAGTTTAGAATCCTAGAGAAAAAATACAAGCTTGAAGACCTGAAGCTGAAAGTCCCTGATTACCTTTGGCAAAAAGTATCCATCCACATTGGTATCAAATGCTACTTCTCTTCCTGCATTTATCGGTAAAATATTGGCCATTCTTTGCACTTCATGGATGACAGCATTAGTATAGGGCATGTGGTCTCGGTTGGCCGTGCTGGGCACCTGTGACTGACCAATTACTTTGTCAATTTCAGCTTGTACTTTCTCTGTAAAAGAAAAGAAGGTTCTATTACTTTTAACACACTTATGCTTCCAAAGCCACAGTCATGGTTTCCAGGGTCAATATGATTTCAACTAGTGATCAGATTACAAAAAAATAATGTGCTATTTCAATTACTGATATTTCAGATATAGTCAGCCATGGTGGAAGATTATGAATAGTAATTCAACATTGTCTCACACAGTGGCAGAAAATGAGTCTTAAGGCAAGAAGGCACTCAAAATGTGACTTGGGAAGTTCTGCCTCCTTAAATTAGAGTCTACACTAATGAAATGAATTCAGTAAAACTTTTACTCAATGATGAACTTTCATTTACTGATATATAACAACTCAAAATGAGAAGAAATAACGGCAAATATCCATTCTGAATTAGAACACTGAATGAAGGATGTATGAAACTAGAAAAAGCAAAATTTGTCCAAAATGAAAGGAATGTACAAAGATCAATATCATAGGCATTAGTGAGTAAAATGGACAGATTGGGTATTTTGAAGCTAGCACTTATATAGTCAACTATGGCAAGAATGACAAATAGATGAGGAATGGCATGGTAGTCATTGTAAACAAACATTAAAGATCAAAGTTATCTATCATTGATAATACCCATATGAATAAAAGGGAAAACTATTAATACAACCATTATTTAAGTTTACAAACAAAACTGAGCCAAAAAGAAGACATTAAGGATTTAGTCTGAACTTGACTGAATATGGAATCAAGATATATTAATAATAACGTGTGTTTAATGCAGAGATTAGAAGCTAAGACTGACATTTGGAAAATGTGGCTTAAGTAATAGACACGTGGTTGAACATCTTATGAGAGAATTTTGTAAGACCAATGAGCTGTTTATTGCAAATAGCTCTTTTGAAAAATATAAATCACAACTATACACATGGAAATCACCTTGTGGAATACAAAGGAATCAAATTGAATACACCTGTCCAAAGATACAGTGTAGAAGCTCAATTTCAGCAGGCAGATGAATGCTAGAAGATGAAGGTAGAGCAAGTCATCAGTTACTCATATGTAAGTTCAAATTAAACTGTTACAATTGAAACAAATCCATGCATGAATGCCAAAATGAAAGTTTTACTATATTCCACTTGAATTTAGGGATTGTCACAAGAAGATTTGATACATTCAACACTACTAATGTAGGAACAGTTGAATTGTAGAATGACATCAAAGATAATCATATTCAAGTAATGAAAATGCCATTCAATGGTTTCTTGGGATGACAGTGTGATAATAGCTACAGATAGGTGAATGTTGTTATTTTGTTTTTAAGTGCTATTGAGCTGAGTATGACACACAGCAACCTTCTGAACAAAAGATCTGAACCCTATTCTATAACTATTATTATTTTTCTATGTTCATAGAGTTTCCAGAGGCATGTGGTTTAGGAAGTGGATGCCACTCTTGCTTCTAAACCTGAAACAATCTGGGAGGTCTACCAAATATTTTCCACGATGGGTAACCATTATGGTGTTTGATGCACGTATGGCACAGTATCCAGCATCACAGTAACTCCAAGTTATTTCAGTACAGCAAATAGACTGACAACTGCTGTACCCACTTAAAAGAATGTTGATCCCAAAATCAATTAACACTAGGCCCTACCACTTTTTAAATACAGGTACACCCACCAAATGCTGGTTGACTATAAACCAAGAGACAAACCCCCGCCCACAGCCCACAGCTCATTGTTAGCTAAATCTGGCAAGTCCAATCAGCTGACATCTATCTTCTTGTTGATGAAATAAAAAAAACCCCAAAACAACAAAAGGTTCCACAGGTGACACTCATCCAGATGCAAGAAACCTTCTTCCATTGTTGTTGTTGATTGCCATCCATTGACCATATGTTAATCTTTCTGGAGCAATTCTAGATCACTGTCTTTTCATTAATAGATATATTTATGTAAATAGTCATATATGTATTGTATGAAATATAGCACATATGAGGGATTGTGAGGTCCACAATCTGCATGGGTCAGGTGCAGAGTGTATGGGTGGTTATATAAAAATTAATTACATTAGTTAATAAAAATTTACTAAAAATTTAATTTAATAAAAAATTAGTTTAATAAAAATTAATCAATTAAATTAGTGGATAAGGATAAAATAATGTATAATATAAATGAATATCAGGTAGTGTAGAATTAATGTGTAATTCTGCCTTTAGGCAGTACTTGATTGGAAGGGCTAGAAGAAAAGATCTGCCCTGAAGATAAGTTTGTTAACAGTAGAATCTGATTGTGTTAGAGATTGGCCAACATGAAAGTTTGAGTCCCACCCAGTACTCTGAAAAGATGTGCATTTCAATTGATTTGTGGACTCACATTGTACTGTTGATGGAAGAGATTCACATTTGAAAGAAGGGCAAATAGAAAAGAGGCAAAAGAAAGAAGGAAAGGAAGAAACTATTTTTTTTTTTTTTGGAAGAAACTATTCTTAAAGCTAGAATGTGCTATTTGTCTTCTGAGGCAGGGTAAAGTTGGTTCCCGTTAGAACCGACTTCCAAAACTTGAGGTTGGAGTATGCTTACTCGTAACTATCACTTGAATCCACAAGAGTAGAAGTAGGAGGACTACAATAATGGAGAAACAGGCTGAGCTTAAATGGGTTCAAGTGCTTCCCTTCTCACATGCACAAATATATGGATGAGCAGGGAAGGGTTGTTAACACACAGTAAAATCCTGGTGACAATCATTTAAAAGTGGCTGGAGAATGAGGTCACCAGGGATCTGGTAGAGATACAAGCTGGATTTAGCAATGGCTTTGGAACAAAGGACATCATTGTTGATGTCAGATGGATCTGATCTGAAAGCAGAGAATAACAGAATGGAAATACTTGTGTTTTATTAACTATGCAACTGTATTTAACTCTGTGGATCCTAATACATTGATGATAATATTTAGAAGAATGTTATTTTTGTTGTTAGGTGTCATCAAGTTGAATATGACCCATAGCAACCCTATAAACAACAGATCTGAACCCTGTCCTATCCTGGGCCATCCTCACAATCTCTGACACACCATAGCTTACTGCAGTAGTTACTATGTCAATACACCTATCTGAATCTTTCTCTCCTTTGCCAACCCTTTGCCTTTCCAATCATGATGTCCTTCTTCAAGGAATGGTCTCTCCTAGAAACATGACTTAAATATATAAGGTGAAGCTTCATAATCTTTACCTCCAAAGAGCACACTGGCAGCACTTTCTCTAAGACATATTTGTTTTTTCTTGGACAGTCCATGGGATATTTGGTGTTACTCAACACCACAGCTCAAACACATCAATTCTTCTTCTGTCATCCTTATTCACTGTCTAGCTCTCAGATACATAGCAAATGATCAGAAAGACCATGGCCTGAATCAAATACATCTTAGTCCTCAAACTAATATCACTGCTCCTCAGTAATTTGGAGAGGTCCTGAACTGCAGACATTTCTGGTACAATAAGCTTCCTGATCTCCTGACTGCTGGTACCAAGTAGGATGAAGTTGTTGATAGTTTTAATCTTTTCTCCATCTATCATGTTTTTACTTACCTATCAGTCTAACTGCAAGATTTTTGTTTCCTTGATGCTGATTAGAAGATTTAGAAGAGTGAGACTTTTATTACTTTTCTTTGGGCTTTTGTAGAGCCTGTCTAGACCAATGCCATTACTTTTGAACAGAACAAGGATACTGAAAGTCAGGCATGAAGTGCCTTGCATTGTATCTTTTCATGTCAGCCATTCAATCTGAGAAGCAGATTTATAGTTAAGACAAATGTGGCATTAAGACTGGAGCAAAACAGGTCAACAACTGGCTATACATAGATGGCAAAACTTTTCTCATAGTAAATGAAGAAGACTTGAAACCCTTACTGGTGAAGCTGAAAGATTATATAATCTTTAATATGGATTACATTTCAACATAAAGCAACAAAAAATTCTCACAACTAGACTAATAAGCAAAATGGTAAATGAAAAAAAAGACAGGTGTTATTAAAGGTTTCACTTAATTAGGATTCCTAGTCAATTAGTTATTCAATCAGTATCCATGAAAACAACAGTCAAGAAACCAAATAGAAATTGGACTGGACAAATCCTTTGTCAATGGCCTCTTTAAAGTGCTAAAGAGCAGGGGTGTCATTCTAAAGACTAAAGTGTACTTCACCAAAGCTCTAGTGTTTTCTATTGCTTCATATGCATACGAAAGTTGTACAATAACTAAGGAAGTTGTTGCTATTGTTTTATGCCACTGAGTCTTACAGACCCATTGCTGACTTTTCAGCAGGTTTTCAGAGGTAGTAGACAGGCCGTCCTTTTCCTGTTAAGCCACTGGTGGATTCAAACTGCATATACTTGGGACTGAAGTGCATCTTCTTAACACTAGGCCACCTGAGCTAAAGAAAAACTGATGGTTTTACATTGCGGTTTGGTAAAGAATATTGAGTATACCACAGACTAAAAAACAAACCAAAAAGCAAATGTGCATTAGAAGAAGAACCAGAAGAGTCCTGTGTGAGACTCTGTCGCACATCTTTAGGCAAGATATCAGGAGGTATCAATTGCTAGAGTAGGACATCATGCTCAGAATAGTGATGGATCAATGAAGGAGAGGAAGACCTTCAATGAGATGGACTGACACAGTGACATCAACAAGGGGTTTAGGCATAAGAGAGATTGTGAGGATGGTTTAGGGTCAGTATGGCTTTTGTTCTGTTGTTCATAAAGTCACTGTGAGTTGGAGCTGATTCATAGCACTTAAGAAAACAGCTCGCTGTTTCCAAAAGGTTTGTTTTGTGGGGTTTTTCTCAAAGTGAAAGTATTTTTCCTGTTGTCCAGTTACAGATGGTATCTCCCAGAATCCTTTGTACCTGTGTGCTTATGTGATTATTTTGAGGTTAAATAATGAGTGAAGAAGTGATGCATGACATGTCACATACACTCCTATAGAAAGAGGTGTTTGTTCCTTTTGTTCTGTCCAAGAAAAAAAAAAAGGTAGTAATCGCCTTGAAAAATGGGAACATATGAAAAGGGAGGTAGTACCCTGTCAAAACCTTTCAAAGACCTCATGATATGCTATGCAGTGAATTGGGCAAGAGCCTTCTTAATAAATGGAGAAGCACATGTGGATGAACATAAGGACAGAGCAATGGAAAAGTAGCGTAATTTATTGAGGTCAGCATGCAGAGTGATTGGGGTTAAAGTTGGCATCAAAAAAAGGGCATATTGGGGAATATACCAGAAGAGCCTGCATCCTATCCAGAATGTTATGAAAAGTCATCACTTTAAATGATATTTCATAAGAAAATGGCATTCTTTTATGAAACTTGATACAGAGTCAACGAATTTTATAATTTCTTTTTCAGATTTTTATCTTCCTGAGGAAAACTATTGCCTTCCACTTAAATTAAACACATTAGGATGTTTAACTTTAAATATTAAAGGGAGGAGAGTTCTCACCTTTGTCCTGAGGTACTGCTTGCATATTTCAACTACTAAACTTTCTATTTGCAGGATCAATGTATAAGTCACTATGCCACCAGAGTGCCCCCCCTTTTTTTGAGACAAAGAATTATTATATTTGCATGACTAGAACTCATCCTGATCCCTTTCAGAAAAAGTTAAAAATGGGATAGTTCTTGAGTCTATCACATGACTGTTCCACCTTATCTCTTGTCATTCTACCATGGTATCATCTAGAAACTCTATTCTAGAGTTTCCTCTATTCTACAAGTACTAGAAAGTATGTTCCAAGCAGTGCCATCTGTCCTTGTACAGGAACATGCAAGACCCTGCTCACCTTGGATTTCTGGGTTTGTGGCCATGTAAAGCAGAGCCCAGCGCAGTGTTGTAGAAGTTGTCTCTGTTCCAGCAAAGAAGAGGTCCAGTGTGCTGCAGACAAGGTTTTCTTCATCAAAACTTGAGGATAAATTGCTTGTATGCTATGAAGAAAACCCTTTACATATTTATTTAGAAAGTTCATGGGTGCCATAAAACACAGAGGCTCATTTTCTTGGTGATGAAATGTAGAAAGAAACTCAAATCATTGCTATCCAGTCCAAACCAACTTGTAGCTGACCTTCTTTGTGCTTCTCAGGCGAAAAATGGAATGAAAGATTGTCCATAATTCTCCTGAGAAGACATTGGTAAATTTGAACTTCTAGAGTCCATGGCTTTCAATTGAGCAGTGCAAGAATCAGTGTACTACATTACTAATGAAATGGCCCAAGTTACTAAATATCCCTTTGTGTTGTGTTGTTGTTGATTGCCTTTGAGTTGAGCATGACTCATATCGACCCCATGAACAAAAGGTCTGGAGCCCCTCTACAACTACTGAAGGCCTGGAACCTCTCTACAACTATTGACATTTATCAAAGTTTCTAGAGTTTCTGGCGGCATGTTGTTTAGGAAGTGGATGCCACTCCTGCTTCCAAACCCGTCACAGTATGTTATTGTTATGTGCTATTCAGTCGCCTGTGATGTATAGTGACCCTACGTACAGCAGCTTTGAACTCTCCTGGTTAGAAAGAAAATTTGTAGGAAGACTATTTTCTGTTCAACTTTGTCAGGAAATACAAAGTATTACAAAAATGGAGAAATGATACTATCACCAGTATCATCCAGATCAAATGGTAGAAGCAGATCTAAATAAAAAATCATTTTCTTACATCTATAATTTGAGAAGAAGGTTTTAGTGCAGTGGAAGGAGAATAGGTTATGAAAAAGACAGAATTAAGTTCCAATATCAGCTACATCTTCAATGGATATATGACCTAGGGTAAGATACTTTATCTCTATTTTAGTTTCCTGTTCCGTAAAATAGAAATTATATGAGACCACATGATAAGGTGACAGAGATGTAAAAGGTATACATAAGTAATCAATACGTTTTCTAATGTTATCAGAACACATAAAACAAGACTTAGTTGAAGTTTCATACACTAATTCTATTTCCCCACACCTCTTTCCCTTTTTTGGTTAACGTTTAATATTCCCTAGTTTCTGTTTCTCATGATACTCAACCAGTTTCTTCTGGATCCTGCAGTTCATTAACATTCTTATATGTGTGGTCCCATATGTGAATACTGAAGAGCAAGTGCATTCTTTTCTGAAGAGAAGACAACATTTGTATCAATGCTGTACCAACAAGGTGAAATGAGGAAGAGTTGCAAATAAATCCACAAATCTGTCAACTTCAATAGATGGAATTATTAATTTAAAGTGCTAAGAGTGCATAGATTCATTCAGTGATGTATATACAGTGAAAAGGTCACTGTGTCAAAAGACACACATCCAATTTGGCTTCCTTTTTGCTTCTTTGTAGTAAGATTGGAAAGTAGATGATGTAGGTAGGTAGAAAAGATATAACTATGCTGACAGAGTCTGCTCTTTTGTAAGACATATAGCCTCAAAATGAATTAATAGAAGTTCTCCAACCGTTGGAATCAACTCATGAGCAGTAGGAGGACTTTATACTATGAAGTTCAACTCAGCTTCTAATGTGATACTAGCACTGAGGAACAGATAATTTAACTGGGTATAAAAAATCCAAATCCCTTGACAGTGAGTCACTTCTGACTCTAAGCCTGTCGGACAGAGTAGAATTGACTCACTGAGCTTCCAAGGATATAATTTTTACAGAGTCATGTATCTATTTCTTTCATAGGAGTGGCTAATGGGTTCAAAGCAGTCCTTTTAGGTCAGAAGCTGAGTACATGACCATGTGGTCACCAGAGCTCCTTAGTTAACTAGTAGAGATACATCAGACATTGAAATGATGCTTTCATCTATAATATTTTTATTTTTGTGCATAGATTATTTAGGGAGCTCTGGTGATCTAAGGGCAAGGAGCTGTGTTGCATTCTCAAAGGCACGTGGTTCAGGGCCACCAATTGCTCCATGGTAGATGGTTGGGTAATCTCCTCCTGTGCAATTAACTGCCTCTGAAAACTCACTGGAGGGTCAGCTATGGGTCAGTTCCAGCTCTACAGTACATGACACAACACGTAACTTACTTAGATGTGGGTAGATGGAATCAGAATGGAGGTGACAAGGCACACCTAGGTATTCTCAAGTCAAATATCATTACATCTCTATCTTTGTTTCTCATTTTCTCCTCAATCTGAGTTAATGATACTTTTAAGATCTGAAATAGTGATCCTGTTTTTACCTTTCTGAGGTTGGAAAAAAAAAGACTTTCAAAGATTCCAATATCCTAAATGTTTCTTGTTGCCTTTACAGGCCATTGAACATTGTCCCACTGAGAGTGACCCTATGTACAACAGAATGAATTACTATCTCATTCTGTGTCATTGATTCAAATCACTGATAGTCTTCCTCTCTTTATTACTGAACCTCTATTTTTCCAAGCATAATGTCTTTCTTCATGGATTGGTCCTTCTGTCAACAACATTCCCAACTATGTGAGAGAAGTCTTGCTTCGCAAGAAGATTCTTTTGGAGAATTTGTCAATGTATTGTTACCTTATCTACAAAACTGAAGGAGTGTTGGAGATGCAGCAATTAAATACTCAATTAATATCCAAAATGTTGGTTGAGTCTCTAAAGATTATAGTTTTGGATCCCTACAGTATAGTTTTTCAAGGTTAGCCACATTTTTTTGTGATCTATACAATCACATGTCTTTGTATAGTCAGTGAAACTCAGACATTCCTAGTACTCTCTGCTTTCAGCTAAGATCCATCTAACATTGGTTATAATGTTCCTAGTACCACAGCCTCTTATACCAAGTTTGCACATCTGGCAGTTCTCTGTTGATGCACTGTCCCAGTTGTTTTTGGATAATCTTTATAATCTTTAGTAAGATCTTGCTGGAGCATATTTTAATGACATTATTTCCATACTTTGCTGGATCACCTTTTTTTTGGAATAGGAATAGTCATTTGGCCAGGTAGTTGTCCTCCAGATTTTTGGTGCACCTTGGTGAACACATCCAAGGCAGCATATCTTTATTGAAATATGTCAATTGCTATTCCATCAATTCCTGGAGCCTTGTTTTTTGCCAATTCCTTCATAGCAGCCTGAACTTCCTTCTTCATCATCCTTGCCTGTTGTTTCATTAAATTCTTCTGTGTCAGCCAATTATTTTTGGTATAGTAACTCCATGTACTCCTTCCATTTTCTTTTGTGGCTAACTTTGAGAAGAATGGGAATCACAGAACATTTAATTGTGCTTATGAGAAAACCTATACTTAAACCAGGAGGCAGTTGTCAGAACAGAGCAGGGAAAACACTGCATCATTCAAAATCCGCAAAGTTGTATGCCAGGCATGCATCCTATCACTGTCTTTTCAGCCTATGTGAAGAACAATTTACTTGGAAGAATAGACTTTATAAGGAGGAATGTGGCATCAGGATTGGAGGAAGACTAATCAATAACCTGCGATATGCAGATGGCACAACCTTGTTTGCTGAAACTGAGGAGAACCTGAAGCATTTGCTGCAAAAGGGCAAGGACTGCAGCCTTCAATATGGATTGAAGTTCAATATCAAGAAGACAAAGATTCTCATCATGAGACCAAATGGCAGCACCATGATAGATGGAGAAAATATTGAGACTGTTAACAATTTCAGCTTGCTCAGCTCCACAATCAATACTCTTGGCATCAACAGTTGGGAAATCAAAAGACAAATTGCACTGGGAAAATGTGCTGTCAGGGACCTCTCCAGAGTACTGATGAGCAGTGATGTCAGTCTATAGACTAAGGTACACATGATACAAGTCATGGCGTTTGTTCCCCATTACTTCCTATGCATCACAGAACTAGACACTAACTAAAGATGACAGAAGAAGAATCAATGCCTTTTAGTTGTGGTGCTGGAGAAGAGTACTGAACATACAGACCACCAAGAGAACAGTTCTTTCTTGGAGAGAGTGAAATCAAGTTTCTTCTTGGAGGCAAGGATTTTGAATGTCTAGCTCACATATTTTGGACATTTGGCCATGAAAGACCAGTCTTGGAGAAAGACAACATGCTTAGAATGGTAGAGGAACAGTACAGGAGAAAGACTTAGGATGGGATGATGGTTTGATAGAGTAACTGAGACAATGGATGTTGGTGTGGTAGAGTCAGTGATAGAGCAGGATAGGCTCAGGATAGAGCAGGCTTCAGATCTATTGTACATTGAGTTGCTATGAGTTGCAGTTGACTCAAAGGCACCAAAACAACAGCAACAACAACAACAAAGGAAGCTAATTATCCTCAATTTTCTCTGAAAGAACAAAATATGAGAAAACCTTAGATTTCCTCACCTTTGTCATTTCCTTGAGGTAAGCATCAATGAAGTCTCTGGGTTCATCAGGATTCCAATCTTTCTTGTGATTTTCAATCACTTGAGAAACAAACATTTTCAATTTCTTCCAGTCTCTAATGACTGTTTGGTGAGGTCCAGGAAGGAATTTCATTATCCATGGAAGTATATTGTAGAGCTGATTGAGCAAAACAAAGCAATTATTTAGACAACATACTGCCACTCTTCCCCATTTTCAGACAACTGCAACAATCGTCCCTTGTTTCCTTCTTCGAGTGGCTTTCAGTTAAGGGAGCTCTGCTAGTCCATAGGAAGCTGCACTGCTAACCGAACAGTCTCAGTTCACTGGCTGTTCAAATCCATCAATGGCTTCTCAGGAGAAAGATAAGCTATCTTCTCCTATTCATTTACAGTCATGGTAACCCAATGGAGGTTCATCTAGAAGTTCCATCTTAACAGACACATATATTCCAGAGAAGCATTTCTGTTCTCTAGTAAAAATATACCCATCCCCAAAATGACCTTCACTAATCCAGCAGCTTGACTGCTTGTAAGAACCACAACTAAATCTTATGCAAATGTGAATTCTATAACAACTTCTGATGGTTTTCCTCATGTCATAATTTCTATTGTAATAAACAAATTTCTTCCATAAGCATAATTTTAACTAAAAAGCCACAGTAGATAGTAAAATTTAGTGACATCTACAACAATTTTATAGTACACTTAAGCACTCTAGAGTTTTATATCTTTATGTACTTTTCCATTTCTACATTGCTCTTTATAAAGCTTACAATTAAAAAGATATATTAAACCTTAAACCTAGTACTTAATTTGTATGCAGGAAAAAAGAAAACACCCCTTCAAATTTATGTCTTAACATATTTTTCGTTGTTGTTAGGTGCTTAATATATTAGGCTCATTTAAAAGAAGGTTTTTCTTAAAATGGCAAAAACCAGATAAAAAACCCAATGAAACACCAAGTAATATCTGCATGAATAAATGATAAAGATAGTGAAATAGAAATGGCAGTCTACTGCTTGTATTATGATATATGGACCTTATGGCATGATATATGGACCTTACATACTTAAGAACTGGATGATGAAAGTGTGTCCTGCAGAAACAAGGTGTGGTGGAAGGTGACTGAGTAGACAGTTCTCAATTAGGATTGACAGATTAGGACAGAGAGCCAGCTCAAAGAGAAGGCTGTGCAAGTTGGGGTACTCATTCAAATGGAGATCTTTGAGGATCCCCAGTGTACCAATTTCCTCAGGATTGTGAGCAAACAGATCTTTTTGAAGGCCTGCATGTGTAAGATTGTTTATTACGTTGACCAATGCCTCTGGGAAGAATGGCCAATTGTCAAAACTCATTTCTGTAAGGGAAGAAATTTTATTTGACAAGGATTCTCCTAAAGATCAAACTCTCATAACTTCCTGATGTTTCCAAGAAATAGAGAAACTTTTTTAGAGATTATTTGATATGAATACCTGAACAGTAACTAATGAGACATTTCCTCAGGAATCTCAATCCATTTTGCTACACTAATCTAGGGTCCAAAGTCCATGAGAAGTGATGATTGTCCTTCACACTCAGCCTACTTAGTACTTTCACCCTGGGGAAAAAAAAATCCAAATGGCATTTTATTGACTTGATTATATTCTATGTTGAGTAACAAGACAGGGGAAAAATAAGATGGATTACACATTGGAAATAAATGAAATAAAATTCTACCTAGCGAAATAATATTCCATTTAATAAGACTCAATGAAAGGGTCTCCAGTAAAGTGTAAATGTTATTTCCATAAATTTTATAAGTTCTGTAAGCTCTAATGTTTTTTCTAGAAATTTAATTAAGTTGTATACATTTAATTATTTTTTTTTACATTTAATTTTTTAAGTACACTACATTTTGCCAGTAATCTGGGTATTGTTGATAATCTATTGTAACTCAGACCAGGATGACTTAAACTGGACAGGTTTCCTATAGGTATCTGGAAAATGTAGCAATTCATTGTGCTTTCAGTCAAGTTTGATTATCTGTTTGCAATTTGCAGTCTCCTTTGGAAGGTGTTCAAGTTGACTGTGAACTACATAATTCATCAATTTCAGTAGGTAGCTGTTTGCCTTTATTCTGTATAATAAATATGAGTTTAGACAGGTTTTCAGTGTTCTGTTCTATAGTTGGTTTTGTTGCTGTAGTATACTATTGAGTGAAAACCAACCAACAGCTGATTCTCTATTGAGTTTTCAGAGGCAGTTAATTGCTAGGGAGAGATTGCCCATCTTTTTTTAGATTGCCCATTTTTCTCCTGGAGAGCAGCTAGTGGATTCGAACTACATGCTTTCAGGATAGCAGTGCAGATTCTTACCACCAGGTCACTAGTCATTTGATTAAATGGAAGGTAAGGAATAGTATACATTGAAGGAAGTTCTCTGTTATAAATCTGTAGCTTCTTCAAACATCTACAACTTCTTCAAGTTATTGAGAGAGTAAGGAAAACTAGTAAGTAAGCTTTTATTTGGAAGCAGTATCATGCTTTATGAGACAGCTTCTAGAAGAGACTGTAATTTGTTATTGTATTTAAAAAGTTCTGTTATTTGTATTAGCTCTTTGATTGAGGATGGCAATATATGTATAGAGCTATTAACTAAGCCGAATACACTGACTACTCTTTCCAACATTTAAGTTCTTTCATCATCTCTACCTTGCTGTATTTATTTTTTCCAACTCACAGATGCTGGAATTGGCTATTTGATTTTATTGTTAATTGAAAAAACCACCCCTGCTTTGGCAAAACTGGAGTCCTTCTTTCCATTTTAGGCATCTTTCCCTTTGATTTTAGGTTTTTTTCTTTGCTCTTTCCCCCAAAACATCTAAAGGATTTTGCTTCATTTTATTTTTCTTTGAACTTTTAAAACTTTCTTTGAATTTTTCAATCTTTCAATTTTTTAAATTACTCACCATGACTCAATCTTTGACAAGAACTATATTAAGTTGTTCAATTTATTTAGACACCAACAGTAACTGGAATTCAAAGATTAAGAGAGAAAACCCTTCACACCAAAAAGGTATTAGCCTGAAGAAGTAGTAGCCGTGGAATAACATCTACATGTTGCATATTATCTCTATAGGCATAAGGCCCACTTTTCAGAACTCCTAACAGTGATAAACTGGTGCTGGTAAATCTATTAGAGTTTCTAGGCATAAAGCGGTCTTAAACTGGAAAAACCCTGTTTCACCAGGAAATCACATTTGACACTAATGAATGGCACGTGATGGAAGAGTAGAAATAATGTGTGCTCCTATCCCATAAGGGTTCCAGAGAGGGTTCAGATCTGTTGTTCAGAGGGTTGCTATGGGTCATACTTGAATTAATGGCACCTACCAACAACAACGATGACAACTCTCTAAATATATTGAGATGCAATCCATTATGAAGGCTGCAGTGTTTAACCTTTTGCAGCAAATACTTCAAGACCTCTCACTTTCAGCAAGTAAGGCTTTGTCTTCCACGCAATGAAGGCTACTTGATGAGTCTTCCTCCAATCCTGATATAATATTTTTCTTCATAGAGTTCAGCATCTTGAACAATTTGCCCAGCATATAAATTAAATAGGTATGGAGAAAGAATATAGCCTTGATGCACACCTTTCCTAATTTTAAACACTGCAACCTTCAATATGGGATGCAATTCAATGTCAAAAGATAGCCAAAAGTCCTCATAACTGGACCAATAGGCAACATCATGATAGACAGGGAAAGAATTAAGACTGTTAACGATTTCATCTTACTTGGATCCACAATCAGTACACTTGGTACCAGCAGTCAGGAGATCAGAAAATTTATTGGACTGGGAAAATGTACAGTTGGTAATTTCTCTAAATTATTGAGGAGTAATGATGTCAGTTTGAAGACTAACATGTGCTTGATTCAGGCCATGTCCTTTTCAGTCATTTGCTATGCATTTGAGAACTGAACTATGATGAAGGATGAGAGAAGAAAAATTGATGCCTTTGAACTGTGGTGTTGGAGAAGAGTGCTGAAGATCCCATGGACTGCCAAAAGAACAACCAGATATGTCTTAGAGAAGGTGTAGCCAGAGTGCTCCTTGGAGACAAAGATGGTGAAGCTTTATCTCACAGACTTTGTGGATGTTTTTAGAAGAGGTTATTTCTTATAGCGAAACATCATGCTTGGGAAGGTAGAGGAATGGTAAAAGTCAAACAGGTAGGTTAACACGGTGATTGTGGCAATGGGCTTGAGTGTGTCAGAGATTGTGAGGATGGCACAGAAGAGCACAATTTTCAGATTGTTTGTTCACAGAGTTGCTATGGGTTGCTATGACTTGCTCAACTGAATGGCACCTAACACAGTAGCAACCCTCTAAACAACCCTCTAAACAAGAGCTCTGCAATCCCAGTCATGCAATTGAAATCCACCAGCTGCTCTGAGGGAGAAGGAGAGGCAATCTGCTCCCTTGTGATTATCTGCCTTTGGATCGGTTCCAACTCAATGCTATTCAACAACAACAATAACAAACCCCTAAAGGGCTCCTTTTCTTCACCACAGTTGTGAACTAAGGGCGAGTGCCTTTAGACTTTGACCTATAAGGTACGTCTAATTTGAGTAGTCCTTGGGCAAATGAAAGTTCAGGCTGTGAGCCAGCTCTCAGCCACTTCCACTGGAAGGTTTGCTTTCTGGATTGTCCTTGCCAAAAGTCTTATTTGACTTGGTTTTTCTGAGACTTCCTAAGGGACAAGTCCTTCCTGAAGGACTGGCAGACAACAGCAGCACAACTACTCAGGCTAGGACAGGCCATGTTATATGGCGTTACCATTATTTTTGAGGCTCCAGTATTTATATGACAATATTGCCTGATAATTTACTCACAGTCAACTGATAATACCAGTAGGAATGGACCAAAATATTCAATAATCAAAAGTAAATGATAAGAGATCACGAAAGTTTCCGTATAAACTGGAATCATAATTAAGGGGTGCTTGGCAACAGTGACCTTGAATAACTTCTGAAGTTATGAAACAGGTTAAGAAAAGCTGAGGAGGGGAGTTATGATAGATGGACCAAACTGAAAACACAGGAACTTAAATAAAAGAGATAATCATATACTTTTGAAAAGGTAGTTTTGCAAAAATGATACCTGATTCTGATCAAGTCTCTATTTTTAATTACCAACATGAGAAATCTACCACTTTCTTTTCTGTCAGTTTGCCATAGTGGTGGCTTTGATTTTGCTGTGATTTTAGGAGCAATGTCACTGATACTTCAAATACATGCAAGATCACCCAGGGTAGACTGGTTTCAGTAGAGCTTACAACTAAGATAGACTGAGAAGCAGGAAAGAACATCAACATCTGAAATAACAAGCTCTTAACAATCCTGTGTAACAATAAAAGAGCTTTGTTCAATATACGTCTGGAAGTTGTGCTCCTTGGCTGGAAGGCAATAAAAATGCAATTAGAGAAGAGTTGCCCCATCAAAGTGGAGTCTACCTCAATGACTTGAATGGATAAAGCTCTCACCCACTGAAAGAGTTTCATTTGCTGCTGCTGCTGCTGCTGTTGCTTTTAGGTGCTGTCAAGAATGATTCATAGTGACCCTATGAACACTAGACCTGAGCCCTTTCTATCCTGTGCCATCCTAATTGCCTCTGATACACTTGAGCCCACTGCTGCAATCACTGAGTCAATATACTGACTCATTGGAGTCCCTCTTGTTCACTGACCCTTTACCCTTCTATCCCTTTCCACGGAATAGCCTTTCCTAGAAACATGTCCAGAGTATGAGAGAGGAAGCTTCATCCTCCTTCTCTCCAAGGAGCGCTGTGGCTGCATTTTTGCCCCTAAGACATTTCTGTCCTTTTGGCAGTTAATTGGAACCTGGTGTGATGGAATACACAGGTATCAAACTGACGACAGCAGCAGTTCATTATCAGATACCTCCTGCTAACATACCCAAAGTAAGTGAGATGAACATTCACCATCATCACTTCTAAGGAGAATTCTCATTGCATTTCTTCCAAGACAGGTTTCCTGTTCTTCTGATAGACTTTGCTTTGTTCGGTAATTTCCACAAACACTCTAATTCAAAGGCATACATTCTTCTTTAGTTTTTCTTATTCTTTTTTTTTTTTGTTTTCATATACATATGAGATGACTGAAAGTACATGGTTTGGGTCAAGTGTACTTAAGGACTCAGAATGGCATGTCTCCCTAACAATTCAAAGATATCATTTGCGCAGATTTGCACAATGCAATACACTGGTTAATGTCTTAAAGGCTTCTTCGATAGACATGGACTGTGGAATCAAGCAAAATGAAATTCTTGACAACTTTAATACTTTCTCAACTTATCATTGTACTGCTTATAATACTTATACTATAAATTTTTTATTTTCTTTATGTGAAATGATATCCATAAAATGGGACCTCTGGTAGAGAAGTCTGGAGTGAATTGCTCTGCTAATAGAAAAGTCTTGAATTTTCAGAATTTCAATACCATCAGTAGCTCTACAGGAGAAACATGCACATTCTCCTCTCATTACGGTTCATAGGTTTGGAAATCCAGTGTAGGATTTCCTGCATTATCCTCACAATCTCTTTCAAGCTAAAGCTCACTGCTGCAGTCACTGTGCAGATCCATCTCCTTGATGATTTCATTCTCCTTTGCTGACTCCGAGTTTTCCAATCACCCAGAAGAACAAGTATATGAATTATCAAATATTGTGCTTTATGTCAATGAATAGAAGTAGTCTTTGTGTAAATATTCAAGGTGGGTTTTTAAAAAAAATCAAAAGCAGCAGAAACAAAGAGTAAAGTCAGCAGGTTCTATTTTAGCAAGTAAGTACCCAAGGAAAAGTCCATCAGAGTGTCACAGAAGCTCCAAAATCCTCAGTAAAGTTTTGGTACCAGAACTACTTACCAGGCACCAGAGTCCAACTTCTAGATGTGTGACTTCATCCACCAACTTCAGCAGCTCTTGAAACTGAACATTGTCATATTCAAAGCGCTCCCCAAAGGTAATGGAACAAATGATATTAGAAACTGCATTGCTGATCTTGAACTGAGGGTCAAAAGGCTGTCCTGGAGACAGAAGAAGGAAGAGGCTTCAGTATTTTATTTATTTATTTTTTAATATTGGTCACAGAGCCCTGTATAATATCTGACACATGGCAGAACTCCAGGCAATACTACGGAGTCACATTTACAGCCAAGGTTTAAATTTAATAATGTAGTTAATAAGCAGGAGTGGCATCCACTTTCTAAATAACATGCCTCCAGAAACTCTATGAACGTTGTAAATGTTGATAGTGTAGCAGGGCTTCAGGCCTTTTGTTCATAGGGTTGCTAAGAGTCGGGCTTGACTCAAAGGCAAGGCAATCAACAATGTAGTTAATATCTATCTTCTTTTTTTTAGCTGTCACAAAACCCACATAGCTTTATTCCTTTTATTAAATGTAGCAAACAGTTATTGAGTATTTTCTATCTGCCAGACACTGTCCTGGGTGCTAGGAATACTGAGATAAATAATTTATCTCTCTCCCACCTTGTACCAGAAGGGATCTGAGGCAGTCTGTAACAGAAATACATAAAGTAAAATGGCCAGAAACAGGTTTTTAAAACGTGAAGCAAGGGAAATATAAATTAAAATAGGTCATATCCAAGGGGAAAAGCAGATTCAGATACATGGCCACAGTGGCCACTGTAATTGTTGGATTTAAGATGTGAATTTGACTCTAAGCATGTTAGCTGGCCAAGGGGAAAGGGACACATGGTCAGTTACACATTTCTCATTGCAGAAACAGAAAAATTGTGTAGTTTCTCAGGGGAGAAGGATGAATAAGACATGGCTTCTGATGTCAAGGAATTCATAATCTAGTAAGAGAGGCAGGTCTTTAGCAAATTATAGTAAAACCATGTGCAAAGACGTATTTTGAGGGTCTGTATAAAGTACTGAGAGAATAGAGACAGTGGCAATATATTTGAGAAGTGCAGAAAGCTAGGGCAGAGATGCAGTGTGAACAATGTTCTGAAAAGGAAAGTGAGTGGAGAAGGAACAGAGTAAGGTGACTTAGATTAGCAGATTCAACCTTCCACATACTTAAAAGCTGCTTTAAGTGCTGTTCAAAGATTCAACCAGTAAGACTAAGATTTTCTTTTTTTTTCTTTAGATTTTCCTGATTAATAAATTCTTTCCATGAAGGCAAAGCCTGTAGATAGTTGCTTACTGTTATAGCTTTAGTAATTAGCATAACGATAGCCCCAAGAGAGAAACATTGGTACTTAAAAAGAATCTTTTCCACAAATGAATAAACTCCTGGAGCTCTCTTAGGAAACTTTTACCTTTCTCCTCTTGTATTGCCTCAACAAGGTTACGGGCTTCCTCCTGAATGCGTTCGTCCAAGCTCTTTTTTCCTAAGCCAAAGTTCCTAAGAGTTGTCAAGGCAAATCTTCTTTGTTCCTTCCACTCTTGGCCACTGGACAAGAACAATCCTGGGAAAAAGAAAGTCAGTATTATGTATTCTGACTCTACAGTGTGCTCATATGGCAAATATTATGGGGAAATGTTACCAGATACAGGTAGGAAAAAGATATTTAGCACTTGAAACTTATTCAGAGAATTCATACTAAAACAATGGGTTAAAAAAAGAGGGTACCATGTACTGAATGCTTGCAGTACCAGACACTTTATTATGTGTTTTTCATACATTATGTAGTTTGGTATACAGAGAATTTGGACAATGACCAAGGAGGATAGAAGGAGGATTGATGCCTTTGAGCTGTGGTGCTGGAGAAGAGTATTGAGAATACCATGGACTGCTAGGAAAACAAACAGATTTGTCCTGGAAAGGGTTAAACCGGGTGGCTCCTTGGAGGCAAGGATTCTGAGGCTCCGTCTAACATACTTTGGACATGTTGTGAGGAGAGACCGGACCTTAGAGAGGGACATCATGCTTGGGAGGGTGGAGGGACGGCGCAGGAGAGGAAGGCCCTCTATGAGGTGGATTGATTCAGTGACTGGGATAATTGGGATGGGAGTGTCAGAGACAGTGCAATTGGCACAGGACAGAGCGGAGTTTAGGGCTGTTGTACATAGGGTCACTATGAGTCGCAGGCGACTCGATGGCACATAACAACAACAACAACAAGAGAGACTTTTCCCATTTTACTGATGGAAAAAATGGAGATAAAGAAGATAAATTTCACAAGGGCATAGTCAGCTTTACTTTATTCCTTATTAATCAGTTTGGAATGCTTAAGAGCTATTGTTTTGTAAAACATTATGAATCCTTCATGGATAAGGAGCACTAGTGACCTTGTCCATACTGAATAGCTCTAATACAAAGGCTGCATATCTCCATTAGTTCAAAACCACCAGCCACTCTGAATGAGAAAGATGAACAATCTTCTCCTGTGTGATTACAGCTTCTAAAAATCTGATGGAGTCTGCTTTAAGATGATTTCTATTCCAAGGCAATGAGTTTCAGTTATTCATGGATGACCAAAAAAAAAAAAAAGTCCATAATAATAAAGAGGACCTGAAGCAGGTGCTGCAGAAGGTCAAGGACTGCAGCCTTCAATATGGATTGAAACTCAATATCAAGAAAACAAAGATTCTCACAACTGGGCCAACTGGCAGCATCATGATAGATGGTAAAGAGACTGAGATTGTTAATGGTGTTAGTTTGCTTGTCTCCACAGTCAACACTCTTGGTACCAGCAGCCAGGAAATTAAAAGACTTATTACATTGGAAAAGTCTGCCATCAGGGACTTCTCCAAAGAATTGAAGAGCAATGATGTCAGTCTGAAGAATAAGGTGCGCCTGATACAGACCATGGTCTTCGCAATCACTTGCTATGCATCAGAATTGGACAATGACTAAGGGTAATAGGAGAATTGGTACTTTTGAGCTGTGGTAATGGAAAAGAGTATTGACTGCTAAGAAAACAAACCATGGACTGCTAACAAAACTAACAGATTCATACTGGAGAGGGTTAAACTGGGCTGTTCCTTGGAGGCAAGGATTCTGAAGCTTCATCTGACGTACTTTGGATATGTTGCAAGGAGGGACCAGTCCCAGGAGAGGGACATCATGTTTAGGAGAGTGGAGGGACAGGGCAAGAGAGGGAGACCCTCTATGAGATGGATTGATTCAGTGACTGGGGTAATCGGGGTAGGTGTACCAGAGACAGTGAGATCGGCACAGGACAGAGCAGGGTTTAGGCTTGTTGGACATAGGGTGTTGTACTATGAGTCACAGGTGACCCGATGACACATAACAGTAACAACAACTTCCACTGTGAAACCTGATGATACTTTCAGCCCCAACTGGATCTTTCAGCAACATTAGACACCCCTTTCTTTCTTTCTTTTTACTTGTATTTGTTGGTGAACATAAATGTTGATACAATGACAGACTTATTTTCCCTTCAAATATATAACAAAAGACAAAAATGCTAATAAAACTCATCCACTTTGACAAGGATTTTACAATACTTATACTGATTAGGAATATAAAACATAAAATACAACATTATTAGAAGGGCAAAAAATATCAAGTAAAACAACAATTTTTTCTTTTTTTCAATTACATTCACAACACAAAGCAACAATTCTAAAAAATCTTCAGACTTCACAAGGTTCACATGATTTTTTTTTTATTACTACAATGGATATTTAGATGCACAGAGACCAGAACAAGCAGATAAATAATTAGATATTCACATAACTCTTTCTACTGCACAGGAGAAACAAAATCAATATTTTTTGCTAACATTCTCAATTACAAGCAAAATACAGGTCTCTAATCATCAATTTTCCCAAAAGGCAGAAATGGAGATAGGGATTAAAATTATTTTATTAAAAACAGTGATATAAGAAGCACATAGTAAATAAATATAAGAAATAAATGACTGGAACAGCACATCAACAGAGAACTACCAGAAGTCCAGGCTGGTTTCAGAAGGGGTCGTGGTACTAGAGATATTGTAGCTGATGTT